TTTGGTAAAGACGATATAATGACTATGGTCACTTTAATAATAATGTTGATGGTGAAAATTATTATAGTCTGACATTTATTCTTTAAATTTAACATTAATAGTTGAAATGATGGTAAATATAATCTAATACTTATTCTTAAGATTTAACAGTAATAATTGAAATGATGGTAATAATATTAATCTAATACTTATTCTTCAGATTTAACAGTAATAGTTGATATGGTGGTAATTATAATAATCTAATACTTGTTTTTTTTCAAATTTAACAGTAATAGTTGATATTATGGTAATAATAATACTCTGACATTAAAGCTGTAGTTCCCAAAGGACGGGCATTAGTCTTGCAAGAAGAATGAGAGCTATGTAAACAGAAACCAAACTGAATCTGCATATATTCCATGGTGAAACACTGTTCGGGGGTGTTCTTTTGACACAGAAAGTAACCTATATTTGTATTTTTATGTGTTAATTACATCTTGCGATGCCCTTGGACCTTGCCCAGGGCACCTTGGGGGCTGTGGCACCCGGTTTTGGAACTAGTGCTTTAAACTAACGTCTGTTTTAGCTTGTTATCATTGCATTAGTCATATAATTTCGAAAAGCGTCTGTGGGTTTTATGATTGTTTGACTCTATCTTGTCTTGTGCATAAAATTGAAGATAGAAAGACACTGCTTCTATGACTCTTTACTGGTTGTATTTGAATTTCTCCACAGATTGCGTTGTTTGCAAAAAGACAATCCAAGGAATCTGTTCGAAGCATCCAATGCCTCTCCTCCGTGACGCGCCGGTAAGCATGGAGTAATAACTATGAACTTAAAAGGCCAAAGATAACCACTATGCAGTAGTTACCAAATATTATTGTGTTTGTAAACAAACAGGTGCCGGGAACTGGACTGTATGTAGGTTAAAGGCACACAACCTAACTGTCTACAGTATCTAGTCGTCATAGACCGAATCTTTTAACTAAACACAGTAAACCTAACTGAGGAAGCCTTCTAGCACCAGTTGTGGCCCGACAGGTAACACAGCCAATTTCTCTTCAAAGGTACCTCGAGACGGCAGCGTGAAGGAGCGAGCCCGGCTAACGGCTCCTTGGCCCTTGGTGGTTTGCCAGTCGCACTCGCAGCTGAAGGCGCGCTCTATTGGGAAGGTGCGTTTTGACCGACCCTAAATGCACCGCCTGCGAAGAGACCTGCGTCCTTGGGACCCCTTGCGAAGGATGGCGTTCTTCCGAGGCATCTAGCGTTCTGGATCACGGGACTATCGGCGGCTGAGGTGTTAACTAAGATCCAGCGCCAAAACATCCGGGCAACGACAGTATCTCCAAACCCTCCCTCCTCCCAAAAACCCGCCAGTCCACCCGCCCTTGTCCCGGCGAATACTGACCGAACGTCTAGTGTCTATTGGCGTGCGGCGTACAGCTGGGAGCCCCGTTGGCAACAACTCGAGGCAGATATTGTCTGTTCAATACTTGGTTGTATAATTGTACTGACGCTGTATTATCTTGCATTCAAAATTATACTGTAAATATTGCCCACTTACTTAAATCTTTAGTAATCTCCGCCGTCACCGCGACCGGACCGCCTCGTTATCTATTCAGAATCGTGTTGCTAAAATTGCGCCCGTTATCCATTCGCATAATCCATCAAGTTAAATAATGAATAACTCTCTATAGCAAGGATTGCATTAAGGACAAGCACCTCAACCCTACCGTCCACGCATGAATGCCGTGGGTATGAACATCATTTATAAAAAACAAGAACAAAGAAATCAGAACAAATCGTAATGTAAAAAACGCAGCAGCAGACCTTTCCCTCCCAACTGCTCTATCTATCACACACAACAAACACACAAGCGACGTGGGGAAGCATAAACGACGCCTACTAACACGCCAATTCAGACCCATAGGCCACGCGACACATTTACTCTCAATCTGTGCCCTCAGCAAAAACCCGCGAGCAGAACCCTCATGGAACGTCCGCGAGTGCGAGAGTGCGAGGGCGAGATCTTCTACGATCCACAATAACACGAGATATTCGAGCAGTGCGCTTCCGCTGGGTCCTTCGGCTAAGGGTCAACTGATCTTTGTACAAGTGCTTATGGTGGTTCTTTGTTTGTTTTGCGATTGCTATTTTAATGGGTACACCTCTGCGGTCTCGTTTTCATTCACTTGCTACGAAGCCGACTTTACTCTTCTTTGCCTTCCTCTCTCTCTCTCTCTCTCTCTCTGCCTGCGTGCGCGCCTGCGGCGTGCGTCCGTGCGGCGCGTGCGCGTGACAATAACACATCTGCGTGCTCGTGAGGCCTCTCTATCTCTTCTCTCTCTCGCTCCTTGCGCTCTACACATATACTCTCTGCCCACATAACATACAATCCTTCTCTTCTCTCTCTCTGCTTCTCTCTCTCTCTCTCCACTCTCCTCTCTCTCCTCTCCTCCCTCCCTTCCGTCGTTTCTTTCCTCCTCTCCCTACTCCCTCCCTTTATTCTCCTCTCTCTCTCTCTCTCTCTCTCTCTCTCGCAATAACATAAATAATTCTCCTCCTCTCTCTCTCTCTCTCTCCTCATCTCCTCTCTCTCTCTGCGCGCGCGCTACCTATCCTCGTATCATCCTCTCTCCCTCTCCCCTCCCTCTTTTCTCCTCCTCTCCTCTTCATACCTTCTACTACTCTGCTCTCTCTCCTCTCTCTCTCTCTCTTTTTCTACTGTCTCTTCTTTTCTCTTTATGCGCGCTCCCTTCCTCGTTTCTCCTCTGCTCCCTGCCCGCCGCTCAAGCTCTCGCCTCTTTCTCCTCTGACTTCTCTCCTCCGCCTCGACGCACTCTCTCTCCCTCCTCTCCTTCGGCTCCCCTCTCTCTCTCTCCTGAGCGGCGGGTCATACATTGCGCCTCGTGAAGGCCTGGATTTTCTCACTTAATACCCTAGTGCCTAGCGCGAATATAACAATACATATATCTTTTCTTCTCCCATCTCTCTCTCTCGGGCCAATCCTCTCTCATCTCTCTCTACTCCCCCCTCTCCCCGCCGGTGCCCCCCTCCGTATTCCTACCGCCCCCCTTCCCGATACCCCTCGTCCCCCTCCTCCCCCCCCGCCACTACCCCTCCCCAGACTCCTCACCTCCTCCCTCCACTCCCTCCCCTCCCCTCCCCTCCTCCCATCCCTCCCCAGCGCCCCCTCTCGCCTACTTTCTACCACAACTCCCTCCCTTTCCACTGCCCTTTTCCCCTCCCGGCCCTCCCTCCTCCCCCCCTCCCTGCCCTACCCTCCACTCTCGCCATTGCCCCTTCCCTCTCGCCCCTTCGGACCCCCTACGTCCCCTCCACAGAGGGGCACCGCTTCATTTATCGTCATCTCCAGTCATCTTGTTATTACACATACTGCATTGACAAGTCAACACGATTTTGCCCATCAACGTCTTAAGTATCAGGCTGTGAATCGCATACTGTTCTACCTGTCACATATGTTTGTTCCCACATATCCTATTAGTCCAGTACGGAGGAAGAGGTGTCGGACGATGCTTCATACTAATAACTTTCTCCCAGTCACATCCACTCATCTGCCATCTCTCTGAACCTCTCGTCATAACCCTCCCTCCACTCCTCCTCCCCCTCCTCCCCCCCCCCCACCCCCCCTCCCCCCCCCTCCCCCCCCCTACCTCTCTCCTCCTCTCTCTCCTCTTCTCTCTCTTCTCTCTCTCTCTCTCTCTCCTCTCTCTCTCTCTCTCTCTCTCTCTCTCTCTCTCTCTCTCTCTCTCTCTCTCTCTCTCTCTCTCTCTCTCTCCTCTCTCTCTCTCTCTCTCTCTCTCTCCCTTCCCCTCCCCTCCCTCTCCCTCTCCCTCTCCTCCCTCCCCCCTCCCCTCCTCTCTCTCTCTCTCTCTCTCTCTCTCTCTCTCTCTCTCTCTCTCTCTCTCTCTCTCTCTCTCTCTCTCTCTCTCTCCTCTCTCTCTCTCTCCTCTCTCTCTCCCTCTCCCTCTCCCCCTCCCTCCCTCTCTCCCTCCTCCCTCCTCTCTCTCCCTCCTCCACTCCTCTCCTCTCTTTACTCACTCTCTCTCTGTCTCTCTCTTTTTCTTTCTCTCCTTCCCCCCTCACTCCATCCCAGTCTCTCTCTCTCCTTTACTCCCTCCTCTCTCTCTCTCTCTCTCTCTCTCCTCTCTCCTCTCTCTCTCTCTCTCTCTCTCTCTCTCTCTCTCTCTCTCTCTCTCTCTCTCTCTCTCTCTCTCTCTCTCTCTCTCTCTCTCTCTCTCTCACTCTGTCCGTCTGCCTGTCTCTGTCTCTGTCTTTCTCTCTCTTTCTCTTTCTCATTCTCTCTGTCTCTGTCTCTCTCTCTCCCCTCCCCCCTCTCCCTCCCTCTCTCTCTCTCTTCTTTTCTCCCTCCCAGTCTCTCTCTCCCTCTCTCTCTCTCTCTCTCTATGCACACTTACAATAAGTCAATGCTACTAAAGTTTTTTTCTCAGAAACACTGAGCTATTGGTGTGGTATGGAGACGCCTACGGCAGCTGGCTAATCTTTCCCTTGCCCCAGCTCCTGTCGGGCGACGGAAATGGTGAGTCGTGCAGTTAATGGATGGGGTTGCAAGCGTTCATTCTTGTCTTATCATTGAATCAAATTGAATCCTGTGTATTCAGTTCTTATTGATTAATTAGCCTTCGGGGATGGTTGCTATTTTTTGACAAGCTAACTTGTTAAAAGCACGCACATGGCAATGTTGGTTAGAATTAGGAACGATTTTTCTCTTACATGTTTCTCTGTTGTTCCTCATAAATATATTGTCTATATAACAAATTGAATTAACAAATCGACATTGATTCCTGAATTATTGACTGTAAGACAATATTTCCAATACAACTAGATACTACAACCAAATCATACTCCTTTACTAATTCAATAACTTTTATTTCATACCCATTCCAAGACCATCTGGGGGTAGCTGGAGGAAGCAGGCAGAACAAGCGCTCCGCGTGGAAAAGAACTCGCTCCCGAGCTAGCGCGAGAGACCGGGAGCT